TACCGTTCAATAAATCAAAGTTTGGTCATTTGTAGTTTGATAAGCCATAGTTGTGTTATCTTGATCAACCATAGATCAAAAGGCACTGTCAATGAAAAATGACATTTTTAATAATTATGACAATGATATTGATAAAAGCATCGTTTCCTTCTTCGAACAAGTGTAGAGTAGATACATGGAACGCTGCTTGGCCACATCCTTTAATGTTGCGACAAGTGTTCCTGAAGGCTTTTTATTTCAATCTCTGCCTGAGATTATTTTCCTGGCTCACCAGATTGGATAATACGAATAATTAGGGGGGGGATGACGGACAATGTAATTGGTCGTAATTAGTTCAGCTATTTATTTAAATGCTGCAGATATATTCTCTTCCTATACTGTAGACCGATTTCCATTATCAGAAGTTGGCACGTAATATTACATTTACATGTTTATATGTATATACGATCATTACACGAACTCACCATAATTGTGTGTTATTTAGTAGAAGCGTTAATTTTGTTGTTATACATTTATGTATATACTTATACCTGTATATATGTGCAAGAATATATATACATATGTATGTATATATTGTATATATACAATCTCATATATGTATATTTATATATACATAATCTCATATATATATACATACATATATATATATTATATTATATAATATATATATATATATATATATGTGTGTGTGTGTGTGTGTGTGTGTGCATATGTGTGTTTTCTTGGTTGTTTCATTCAGAATTTTTCTAAAATGAAATTGAGAGGAAAACAATCACAAGCTTAAACGTTTAAAAAATCATATTATTTATTGAGATAGAATGTTTGAAGAACCCGAAGGCACATGTTGCATCCAGACATCAAGAGGTCCAAGAATGAAGTTTAGATCCATACTCATAACGGCAGCAAGTGACGAAGTGTCTTCAGAGTTAAATCCATAGCCACTGCGGTAGCCATAGCCGTAGGTGTAGGGATAGCCGTAGGAGACGACAGGAGCGGCGTGGGTGTAGGAGTAAGTGTGCGGGTGAACAACGGAGGCGTCAGCTTCTGGTTCGGCCGACCTCTTGTGGAGGGCGTGGGCGTGGCTGTAGGGATAGCCGTAGGTGTAAGGGCGAACGTAGCCATAACCTGCAGAGTAAGGGCGGTAGTAATTGTACAGGAGGGAAGGATCAGCATCGGGTTCAGGATCAGCCGACCTCTTGTAGAGGGGGTGGGAGTAGCTGTATGGGTAGCCGTAGCCTCGGTAGTAGCTAGGGTAGCCATAAGTCTGACCGTAGAAGGGGAGGCTAGGGTCGGCGTCCGCCTCTCGCTTCTCCACTGGAGAAGCGCAAGCAAGGGCCGCCAGAAGCACTACCGCCTGTTTAGGAAACAAAGCAGTAAAGATTAACATCATATTAGTTATAATAAAACTAGTTGGATGTACAAATCGAATACCAAGTTATTGTTCTAAGAATCCTAACTATTTGTAAAATCTAAGCAGACATACTTTAAAATAATACACGGTTGTAACTTTAAGCAAAAATGACTGACCAAGAACTGCATGTCAGCTGCTTTTGTGACTGCCTGTCTGCGAATGTGTCTGTTGAAATCGTCGAACTTCTTATATGCGGGACTTCCGTCCTTGGACTTGCAGGATGACTAAAGTCCGAAGGTATCGACGCCGAGAGCAAGGAAAAGTCGCCCGTAAGGAAGTATGAGCAATTCTAGCACACCGACGGACAAACACGCACATACATGCACTCGCACATCTACGAATATCTTGTAGACTTTAACAATTCACTAGATAAAAAAAAAAAAAAAAAAAAAAAAAAAAAAATAGTTTCACGCACACAGGCACACACATACTTGTACTGAATAGCTAAACATTTTATATAAACGTACATACAAATATGTACATTTATATGCTTAATGTATACATACGTATACAAATATATCCAAACACATGTATATAGGTATATATGTGTACGTATGTATCTCATATGTGTATGTATATTATATGTGTCTTTATGTGTGTTTGCATGCACAGTTGCCAACATTTCCAACTGCCACACCCCGATAGTGCGTGAACAGATTTTTTTTTCTGGCAATACATTCGTAGTCTCCAGTATTCAGTGAATTAAATGCTCTTGCTTGTATGGAGGAATGCTGTAATTGGCGCCTGGTATTTCGCAAATACATTTATTGGCAACTAATATCAGCCATTAGAATTATGTTAAAAAGGTTTGGAAACATTATAAAGTTTTGCCGAATACCAAGATTATTGCTCGAAATATATGGTGTTTTTCTTAAAAAAAAATAATAATAATAATAATAAAAGGTATATAACTAGAACCTTTAGCACAATCACGATAGCCAAACATCGATGACAACATTTAATCTCCAATTATTCTTAAAAGTTTTCGTTAATTCTGTAAACGTAAAACACGTTATTTAAAGAAGGTGATATACGAATCACATGTATCAACTGTAAATGTAAATCGTAAGGTTTTCTCACCCGATTCATTGTCTTTGCGCGGCTTCCTTATGGAATTCATGAATGGCAAATTACCCAGTTGCTTGGTGGGTTGTTATGCATACTCGAGTCACATTTAGTGATCCCTTAAGTATCAAGATTTGCAGAGAACATAAGGTCAGAAATTTCTGACAGGTCGTCAGAGATAGCCTCGAGGGGACTGTTTATGAGGCATATCCCAAGTCGATAGTCATGTTTCAAAATCTGTAACACTTAAAAACATAAAATATCATTCTCATGTATCCATTACACATAAATACACACACTCTCTCTCTAGTGCAAAATATACAGCGAAGGAACGTCCTGAATAACCAAGTGCCATTGAAGATGATTAAACAAGCAACTATGGCTTAAAAGACTTGTTTAGCTTTTAAGAGGAAGGGGAGAACACTATGGCTGTTAAAACTCCTCGAAACTCTGAGTTTAGGAGAAGCAAGATGTATGATTTATTTATTTATTTATTTTTATTATTATTATTATTATTTAGTCTTACGGAATATGTAGTAAATGCTATGCCTAACAAATCCAAACAATATTTGTTTTCGCTCGAAATGAATATTTGGCCTGTTATAATATTTGCAATTATAAAGATACAACAAATTGAGTTGTGGAAACCTTGCAGTGCCTGAAAGTCTGAAATGCAGAGGAAGACTCGAAATGAAATTGCACTCTTGTAAGATAGTATGTATATGTATGTTTGTATAGATATGATTATAGATGCACAGCTACGCATAGTAATATACGAGTTCTACTTTTAAGTGGCAGCGAATTTACAGTTTCAGTCCCTTTATAAAGAGTAAGATTTGTTTGCAGTCTATAGAAGCTGCAACAGATGCGTCTGAATGTAAACACAGTGAGCAGGTAGTTATTGTAGTTATGATTATGGTGATTGTTATCATTACCATCCGATACTATTATACGCATTACTATGGTATTATTAAGAAAAGATTAACACTGCTATTCTAAGAATGGTGGAATAAAAGTGCAAATAATATACATGGAGACAATGATGATTAGCATGATGCTGCTGATACGGGGTAATACAATGCTAACAATAATGACACTAGCAAAAGTAATGTAAGTGAGGAAGTGAATGAATGTGATTACACTATACATGGTTTTAATGAAAGTGGAAAAGGTCGTTGATTCTTTATTGGCGAGAAATGTTTGTGAAGTCGAAAAGAATCTCATGCATCCTGGCAACAAGTGATGCAAGAACGATGTTAATATCCATAATCCCTACGGTAGCCATAGCCGTAGGCGTAGGGGTCTAATAAAAGTGTGCTAGAAATGATCATAAAAAAACATTAACAATCATCATAATGCCCGTGATATTCATGATAATCAGTAGAGAACACGTTTGAGATAGAACTCGTGACATGAAACTAGATCATTATTGCAATGATTATTGGTATCATCGTTCTATTTTTTCTTTTATAATTAGTATTTATCATTAAGCTCCCGTTTGTCTGATATTTCCTAGGATATCAATAGGTCGTAGTTGGTTCAGTTGTAGTCAGGTCTTTGAAGACACAAAAACTTTAAATCAGTATTCGTATTCTTATGCTCCATCAGAACTTTGTTCAATATGCTACGTAAGTCGCACAATTTGAAAATAAATACTGATTACTGAAATTTATGTTTCGAAGGACATGGTACTGTCCAAATAAAAATGGAGAATTCATTGGTACTTTATTTCGAAAATCATTTCTTGCATCCTGGCAACAAGTGGTGCAAAAAGGAAGTCAAGATCTATGCTATTACTGGTAGCAAGTGACGAAGTGTCTTCAGAGTTAATATCCATAGCCCCTGGGATAGCCATAGCCGTAGGTGTAGGGATAGCCGTAGGAGACGACAGGAGCGGGGTGGGTGTAGGAGTAAGTGTGCGGGTGAACAACGGAGGCGTCAGCTTCTGGTTCGGCCGACCTCTTGTGGAGGGCGTGGGCGTGGCTGTAGGGATAGCCGTAGGTGTAAGGGCGAACGTAGCCATAACCTGCAGAGTAAGGCGGTAGTATTGTACAGGAGGAAGGATCAGCATCGGGTTCAGGATCAGCCGACCTCTTGTAGAGGGCGTGGGAGTAGCTGTATGGGTAGCCGTAGCCTCGGTAGTAGCTAGGGTAGCCATAAGTCTGACCGTAGAAGGGGAGGCTAGGGTCGGCGTCCGCCTCTCGCTTCTCCACTGGAGAAGCGCAAGCAAGGGCCGCCAGAAGCACTACCGCCTGTTGGAAATAAACAATGAAGTGTAAATCTGAATTAAAGCAAAAAGTTAGTAACTCCAAATGAAGTAGTCCTTTTAAGTATTACGGTTACTGTAATTTCTGCATTGAAGTTTGAAAACTAATGCACAGAACTTTAGGAAACAGAAATAACTAACCAAGAACTTCATCCTTGTTGTGTCCGCGACTGCAGTGGTGGAATGTGTCTAGAAGAAACGCTCCACTTCTTTTATACGAAATCTCCGTCCTTGGACTTGCGGATGACTAACCTCCGTGAATCGGCGTTCGGTGTGAAGAAGTGCTAGAGAATTTCAAGTGATTTTAACTAAAGGATGAATGTTGGAAGACCTACTACACACACATGATACTTGTAAACACACATACATAATCATGTATATAAGAGCCTGTGTGTGCATGTTTATTGTATAATATGCATATGCGTATAAATTTTCAATATATATGTATGGATCTCTCTCTCTTCTCTCTCTCTCTCTCTCTCTCTATATAATATATATATATATATATATATATATATATATATATACATAATCAAAGACACAATGATACGCTGCAGTATTCAAGAGATGGGAAAGCTTATGAATTAAAAAATGTTTGTTGAAGAAATGACAAATATTATTACCAAAACATTCTGAATGGATTAAAAAGCCGTTGTATGTGTCCTTGTTCCCTACGTCTTATGCGATTTCAAATCTAAATTTAGATCAAGTTTTTACACATTCCTGAAGCACATGTGAAGAATGTATATAGTTTTTAATTGTCACACACATACACGTACACACACACACACACACACACACACACACACACAACACACACACACATAAACATGCGTCTAATCACTATATATATATAATATATATATATATATATATATAATATATATATTGTATATGTATATATATGTGTATAATATATAATATATATATATATATATTATATATATATATATATATATAATATCTGTGTCTGTAACACGCACACGTATAAACATGTATGTGTATCTACAAGTTGTCATATATATATATATATATATAATATTATATATATATATATATATATATATATATATGTGTGTGTGTATGTGTGTGTGTGTGTGTGTGTGTGTGTGTGTGTGTGTGTGTGTGTGTATGTATGTATAAATCTACTACGTATGTATATGTATCTATGTGTGTACTGATTCAATAACTTTTTTATGATTGCTGTTTCGGATGCTGGAAGTGGGACATCTCAACCACAGCTGATCCAGTTTGGGAAGCGCTTTAGTACCATATTCCTTATTAGGTCATTAGTTGTCAGCGTGGCTTTGATTATTGAAGTTCACTAAGGCCCTTTTACACGTCTGACCAATTTCCATGTTGAATTTGTGCTATTAATGAATTAGATAGGATGAGTGAATGTAAACAGATGCTAATGTTTTAGAACATTCGTATATACAATATACATCATATTTCTTTTAAATAGCGTAATATGTGTGAGAATGTTCGTTTTTTTCAATGATATTGATAAAAAGCATCGTTTCCTTTCTTCGAACAAGTGTAGAGTAGATACATGGAACGCTGCTTGGCCACATCCTTTAATGTTGCGACAAGTGTTTCCTGAAGAATTTTTTATTTCAATCCTCTGCCCTCAGATTATTCCTGAGCTCACCAGATTGGATAATACGAATAATTAGGGGGGGGGGAAATGACATACAATGTAATTGGTCGTAATTAGTTCAGCTATTTATATAATTGCTGCAGATATATTCTCTTCCTATAGTGTAGACTGATTTCCATTATCAGAAGTTGGCACGTAATATTACATTTACATGTTTATATGTATACACGATCAATACACGAACTCACCATAATTGTGTGTTATTTAGTAGAAGCGTTGATTTTGTTGTTATACATTTATGTATATACTTATACCTGTATATATGTGCAAGAATATATATATAATATATATATATATGTATATTGTATATATACAATCTCATATATGTATATTTATAATATACATAATCTCATATATATATATATATATATATATATATATATATATATATATATATATTGTTTTATAGTGTTCAATTTGTGAAACTGATTACTGAAATTTATGTTTCGAAAGGACATGGTACTGTCCAAATAAAAATGGAGAATTCATTGGTACTTTATTTCGAAAATCATTTCTTTGCATCCTGGCAACAATGATGCAAAAGGAAGTCAAGATCCATGCTATTACTGGTAGCAAGTGACGAAGTGTCTTCAGAGTTAATATCCATAGCCCCTGCGGTAGCCATAGCCGTAGGTGTAGGGATAGCCGTAGGAGACGACAGGAGCGGCGTGGGTGTAGGAGTAAGTGTGCGGGTGAACAACGGAGGCGTCAGCTTCTGGTTCGGCCGACCTCTTGTGGAGGGCGTGGGCGTGGCTGTAGGGATAGCCGTAGGTGTAAGGGCGAACGTAGCCATAACCTGCAGAGTAAGGGCGGTAGTGATTGTACAGGAGGGAAGGATCAGCATCGGGTTCAGGATCAGCGGACCTCTTGTGGAGGGCGTGGGAGTAGCTGTATGGGTAGCCGTAGCCTCGGTAGTAGCTAGGGTAGCCATAAGTCTGACCGTAGAAGGGGAGGCTAGGGTCGGCGTCGCGCTCTCGCTTCTCCACTGCAGAAGCGCAAGCAAGGGCCGCTAGGAGCACTACCGCCTGTTAAGGAAATAAAACTGAAGTTTAACATTGAGTTATGGTAAAACTAGCAGTATATACAAACCCAAAATCA